ATGTTCATGTGCGATTTTGGGAAGCTGGTGGTGTCCATTCACATTATCTTGGATCACAGTTTGTGGGACATTCTAAGACTGAAGATCTGCTGCACCATTTCAAAGTGAGTATAGTAAATTTTCTGTTTATTGAATTACAGATAAAAGAAAAGAATGAATTACAGATAAAAGATGCATTTCAGAAATCTTAACCATTTCAGCCCCAATGGGTTGTCTTGACATTTTTTGCTCAAAATAACATGCCTAAATGTTATAGAGCATTTATAAACTTTTAAATAGTTTTGGTATCAAAATAAAGCTAACACTTTGAAAAAATAGCAGCTATTTTGATATACTTCTGAGATGGTGGAGATAGTGAGGATGAAAACAGAAAAAATATGGCCCTCCACCCCACCCCTGACCACTGAAGGTTATTTTTGCTTGTTTTTTGCATTAACCCTATTTCCAAATATAATGAATATTGCTAGAAACTCTTGGAAACCATGCATTCACAAGTGGATACCAGCGAAATAATTTATGCTGCTACATATTTATCCCCCCCCCCCCTCCATATAAAAAATGATAAATCATTGTTTGACTTCAGCTGGACCATATTAACTGACAATCAAGTTAAACTTTCAACACACTTTGCAACATATTTTGGTATCTGCTTTAACTTGCATTTCTACAAAAAAAAAGTCTAAATATTTTTACAGATCTGCATTGATGCCATTTTGTACAATTTGTTTACGTTGCGATTAAACTGTTTTAACTTTCTGTGGATGTAGAAATTATTTTATGAGCTTTTAGCTAAGAATCTGACCTAACTGTGGATATTAAACATGTACTGTATGTGTTGAAATGACAGACCTGATTAGATAACAGAAGGTTAAATACATAGAAAACAAGATAAGCAGTTTTGCTTGTTGATATCAGGGGCATCAATTTTTATAAAAATTAGATAAATTTGAAATATGCCAGAAACATCGTTTTAGCATTTTCCTGCATATAAAGCATCATTTCTGATTAGATTTCACTTGTTCCTATGACAATGGCTCAGAAAGGAAGAAAACCCCCCACTTTTGACCTCAGACTATTTCTAAAGATTTTTACATGGAACTTCCTTTGTGGCTGAATTAACATCTCTTACACCTTCACCTACTAGACTTTGTGACGATGCCCCAGCAGTCAAACTGATAGAATTTACATTCTGATAAGTTCCTGTTGCTTCCTACCCCCACAAGACTGTTTGTTCCTCTTCAGGGATCATGAATTCCTTTAACAAGACTCTTCAGCGTGACTGAGAATAAAGGACCTACATTTTTCATTAAATGTGAAAAAAAAGGAGAAATGAGGAAGGAATTTGTATCTAATTGTTTTCTGTCCCATTGCAAAGAATGCCATCTAATCCATTTTTCTTACAGAAAAGTACTAAAAGACCATAGATTACTAAGTTTGGCTWAGTTAACTATTCAATAGCTGTGTGGATTGTGTTTAATTGTTTACAGATGGACTCCTGAAGAAGATGTTTCTTTTATTTCATGATTTTAAACAGTGTGTTTTATTCCATGATTTAATCCTTAGAAACTTTAGGACTTGAATCTTTAATTAAAAGTGTGACACTCTTATTTTACTGAGGCAAGCAGATGTCTCTTCCTTTAGTTAGATGTGAGATAATCAAACTACCTCTCCTTGGGCTGCCACCTTATCGGGGTGGAGGGGTTTGAGTGTCCCAATGATCCTAGGAGCTATGCTGTCTGGGGCTTTAWGCCCCTGGTAGGGTCACCCAAGGCAGACAGGTCCTAGGTGAGGAACCAGACAAAGCACCGCCCAAAGACCCCTTATGATGCTCCAAAAATTTGGATCTGGCGTTCCCTCGCACGGATGCGGGTCACCTGGGCCCCCCTCTGGAGCCAGGCCTGGAGGTGGGGCACGATGGCGAGCGCCTGGTGGCC